ACCAATTTTATTTAATCTTTCTTTAACATTTTCTCTTGTAACAATCCAAAACTGTGCAAGTGCTGTAAACACTCTTTAAGTAACATTTGAGACCCATCCAAAAATGTATCTCTGACATTTTACCATAATAAAAATCATATTCTTCAACATGAAAAATGTAGCTTGTTGATGTGTTGTTTGAAAACAGGAATAGAAGAAAGGGAGACTTTCAGGCTTAAAAATAAATTCACGTTTGAGTGGAGACAGTAACATGGCATTTCAGTTCACCAGATGAAACGTTTAGTGAGGTTTACCAACTTGACTCTTATGCAACCACAAATCAACACTATTCTTTATGTAACAGCTGCCTTGAAAACTCAACAATCGTGCTGGAAGTTTTCATGAAAAGTGATGGAACACATTACAGACTGAAATTCTCTTGCACCAAGGACTTAAGTACAAGCCCCTTTACTTTTGCATCCTGAAAATGTGTTTCTAAAGGTATCTTAATTAGATCTTACAAAATATTTTTGATGGCGTTTTCTAAACTTGACAACATTTTTTTCAAAATCTAAGGGAAAAGGGGGCATTGGAACGAAAGATGTGATTCGCAGATATCGCCCACAAAAGGTCAGAACATGAGGTTTCCCTCCCTTGTACCAGCTACCACTCCTGCCAGAGCAGCATCAGAACAGGGAAGACACATTAACTCAGCCCTATGTTACCTCATTCCAGTTTGAACCTCCCACTGGAGGTTCAGCTACAGACCTCTGGGGTGGAGCTCACACAGGTGTGAGAGCTGTGGTCCTTCTATTGCGAGGGAGAGGTCAGAACAGTCCCTGTACTCGGCTGTTTGGAGCCCTCACATGAGAAATGAGTGAGTTTTGGTACTAGCAGACTAGGTTTCTGCAAAAAAACCCAGAAGAGATAGCAACACCACTGCTACATCTGCCTTGATGGATTTGTGAACGCTATCAACTGGACTGGTTTGATGGACGGGATGTTGGCAGTAATGCCAATGTAAAGAGTCCCAATCTTTGGCTGCTCATCTCTGCCTCGTGTTGTAGCATATCAGTTTTTCCTCATTAGCTTTTTTTCTTATTTTTTAAACCATTTCATTGACTTTATTCATGGGGTGGCCCAACAAACAGTTATGGCAACACTCTGCAAAGTGGAGGCATGGTTTCCTTATGCTGATATTGCAGCTGGAAATCCCTAAGTTGTTAAATCCAAACCTAGCCTGCCATTTCCAATGCTTTCCCTTTTGCTGTAGGTGCCTAACATGGAAATGAAATATTTTCTTTTCTTTTGAGCCAAATGATAATATATGCTCCTCTTTGGTTTGTTCCTTTTTTGAAGTAAAAAAAAAGTATTTTCAAACTCACATGAATATCAATATAAACATTTCAATATTTTGAGTCCAATTTTTGAATCGATAAGAGAATTTTGTCATCTAATCAGATGCAGATACTAACATTTTAATATCCACTCATCACCAGTTTTTAGGCATTGCATTTTAAAGAGAAATAAATATCTTCATGAAGGGTTATGAAGTAGTAAGCAAAATGTGGCAATCAAAGCAATATAGATCCAGTTGTCATGGAAAAATTCTGATTACTCAAGTATACTTACTTTCCCTTTTTAACTGTATGTCTTCCAAGCAGGGGATCAAGTGCGGAATCAAGAAATTCTCCCATGTTTTTGATTAGCACAGTCTCTCCACAAGCCAAAGCTCTTTCAATGGTCTTCAGAAACCTTAACATCAAAAATAAAAAAATAAACCCTCAAATACTAGATAAATGCTGGTTATAAAAAGAGTTATTTTATATAACAGAATAGGAGAAGTTTTTCTAAAACAGCATTGTTAAACCATGCAAAACTGTTCACGAAGAATTTCCCAGTGTTTAAGAGTTCAACAGTTTTGAGTTCAGTATCTTTCTACCTATGGTGTTGCTAGTCCTCATATGAAACAAAAAACATATTGCTGGGGCTTTTCTTATAACCAAATATGAGGATATAGCAGCACATTGAAGACACTGGAATCAACACAGAGAAGCTGGGGGAGCACATGTATCTTTTAGCTTCTGCTATTTTTTTTTAAATTTTATGGGTTTGTGTTATAGCTTTTGGTACATCCTTATCTAAACAATAAACACTTTCTTGAAGGGTTAGAATCTGCATGACCTGTGAGAACTCTGTTTCAACAGGCACTGAGGGCAGGTAATAGTGAAGGATTAGGTAAGCAGACAATAAAGCTTCACACAGAAGGGTACTACAGGGTATGAATGAAAAATGACAATTATTTGTGAGGGGTGGAAAAAGAACTATATAAAAATCAGGGCAGGTGAGGAAAAAGAGCTCATTCAGAGGGACAGACAGGTTGCATGATTAACACTTATTTAAAAAATGAGGCATTACTGCGACCATTTACTGTGTTGTGTAATTGTGTGTTATATCTGGAATTCAGTATAATAAACTCAGATAGCCCTTTCAAATGGAGCAGTTAAATCTTACCTAGTTGTCTCCCTAAATCAAAGTAAACATTGAGAAAAGATATGACAGATCAGTCACATGCAAGTGCTATCAGCTTACATATGATTCAGTAATAGCAATGAGAATTAAAAATACGTTTGTTTACCAGGAAAGGGCCCAATATTGGCTTTTGCCTCGAATGCCATTCACTGGATTGAATCTTTCCCTCTGTAAGGTACATGTGCAGTGTTCTGCTGACTAAACTGTACAGTATAAGTAAGGTCACATCACCCAGCTTTGCACCTTACCTATTGAAAAAGTGATTTGCCCCTCACAAAAAGCGCACCTCAACTTCCACTTTATTTCCTCCTCAACACTTGAAAGCAGCATTAAAAAAAAAGGTCCCCTTGCAAGCAACATTTTAAATGGAGAATGATGCTATGGATAAATAAGCAGCAGCATTGTAACATTTCAAGTCTTCGAGTAAATGCATTCCAACAAACACCAATCCCTTACAAAAAATAGGGGAACTTGAGGGCAGTAAACATGGAAGCCAATTCTCCAGCACGCACATACCCTTCCTGGACTCGACATATGACTTTAAGGTCAGCTCCATATTTATTCTTTATCCATTTAATTCCCTGCTGCTGGGGATCCATCATCAGAGGCCAGCGCTCGCAGTTTGTTAGAATAGTGGCATTTTCTGTTGACATCCTATCACCGGGCAGTCCCTTGTGACTCCATGCCGCAATCACAGCATCATCCTTCAACGTGGCAATCGGGTCCGGGCCCTCCGTCACAGGACTAGGAACCTTTGAATCAGAGCGGAATATAATCACCCAGCAGGGTTACCAAGCAGCAAGACATGACTCAGTGCAATGCACAAGGTAACTGGGCTGGATAGAAATTAAGGCAGAAAGGTAAGGGGGATCCCTGCGCAGATCAGATGCAAAAGAATATACTAGGAAATGTGATGTGAAGCAGCTTATTATATTTATCTGGGATTTTAAAAAAATGTGTTTTCATTTAAGACTTTTATAGTTCGATAAAGTTAAAAAAACACACCATACATAATAAATTTCTTTGTATATGGATTCTGAAATTGCAAATTCAATGCTCATGTACGCTCGAGTGTGTATTTCTGGAATGTAAGTCAGTATTTACCTACGCCAAAATTCCAAAAACAGGATTCCCATGTTATTACTACAGTTCAGCTTGGTGTTAGCTAGACCAAGAGCCAGAGAATGGGACCATCTCCAGGGGCAGAGGCAGCCTTGGAACTCCCTGCGTGGCACCAGCTGTGGCAACGCTCTCGTGTGCGCGCCCGTTCGCTAAGAAGGAAGCCGCCACCTCCGCGTACGCTAGAGCGGCCGTCAGACAGCCACGCTTGCTGGATACTATCTTGTTGCAGGCATTTACAAGGAGATGAAATCAAAAAGCAATGGCACATCTGAAATCAGTGCTTACTGAACGGGTATGGGTGGGAAGGGAAATGCCTAGCGCAACACAACAGAGTAAGAGAGAGTGAACAACTAACTTATTTGGGGGAAAAAAAAAAAAGTGGCTAGTGGAAGTATAAAAGAATATCTACACCAGATGCCTGGAATTAAATTTTTCCTTACTGAAGCAAAGGGCAAACCCCCACCAATTCCTTCATGACGTTATCCCAGGCTTTCAAATTTGTGATTGGATTAAATTCTGGATAAAAAAAAAATAAAACCCCATCAATTAAAGGAAAGCACAACATCATTAGTATCTAGCCTGAACTATCTTCTACTCCATTCAAAAGTGTTTTAAAAACTCTTCCATCAAATTTTTCCTCCTCCCTAGACATGTATAGTCCTTAGTGCTGGCTTGTAGACTGGAGATGCTTTTGCAAGTGCACACTGAAAGAAAAAAGCATGTAAATCTGGTGGTTATTTATAAAGAAAATCATTGCATATATTTGAGATTTGCACCATACCTCTAGTGCAGTTTCTGTGGCACAATGTCATAGTTATCATATTATTACAAAATACATACCACCTTAAAATTGTCTAACCCCCGATTCTAATCAGAAAGCCCAAAATAAACCTAACTTTTGATGAACTTGCTGAAAATACGAGCACAAAGGAACTGACAGGCATACACTCCCCTCTGCAAGCATGCAACATATTTATCTCCTGTGCGTAATACTTTTATCTAAATATACCAGAGGACTGAAAATATGATTTGTTTTATCTCTGGACTGTAAGACAAGCAATACAATCATTTCCACGAGCTGAAATACTTCCTTGTGGAAAACACTAGCATTGGGGTATTATTAGGGTTTCTAATACAAATTTTCACACAATGCAAGAAAAATATTTTAATATATAGATAAATCTATTGTCCCTGTATCTGCACAAAACCAATACTTCATGGCATAGAACTCCTGGTTGTTCCTTCTAAATAGGACTATTAATAAACATCTATTTTTAATATCACTTCCCAAATGCATTTCTCTCCTCTTTTCCACTCTTCCCCACTTGCAGGAAAACGATTAAAACTGAAATGAGGTATTTTATCTCCGTGCTGTTCAGTGAAAGCATCTTAAAAAGTAAGAAGTTAGATATGGATTATTTTTATTTACAAAAATGTTCAGTCCATTTCAGAGGATTCTTAAAAGAGTTATGAATGTCATTTATCTCCAGGGTCCCACTACTGAAAACAAATATAGAGGGGTAATTTTTTCTACCTATCAGCATTAGGCTGCAAAGTAGAAGGAAGTTTTTGAGAAAGAACTTCATCTGTGGACAAATTTTGGGTGGAAAAGGACAGGGAGATGTTCCAGGCAAAACAAAGCTCCACACAAATTAGTGACTATTAAACTCTCGCAGAAAGCAAACGTCTACAAAAAGATGCCCCCACAAATCCTGAGTGCTGACCTGGGGAAGCTTGGATTTGGCTTTAACTGCATTGCCAGAGTGTCCTCAGGCAACTGAGCTCTCCTGCCGTGCCTTAGCTTTGCGCTTTAAAATGGGGTGAGAGTTCCACACATCACATATTTCAGAGAGTTAACTACATTAATCATGATACAATGCTGTGATTTGTGGCACATAAGAAACAGGAAACAAGTAGGAAGAGGTTGAGGAGCATTTGCAATAGTAAGAAAGATAGGAATGGTCCAACACTTCACAAGGAAGGATGGGGAAAGCTTTAAAGAGACAAGTCTAAGGGTTACACCCTCTCTGCATTTATTGAGTACTATCATGGTTTCCTCCGCGTACAGAGAAATGGGGATTATCACAACTACCTGGAGCTGAAAAGCTAAGCAGAATAAGTCTCTACACTCTCTGTCACCATTTATAGCATTCGCTGTTACACAGGTGTCACAAAGGATAGAATTTGGCATAGAGAATCGGAAAGGGATGGGATTTTCTTTTGCCATAGAGAACTTAACCTCTCTCTGCCATTCCCATATATATAAATATACAGATACATGTATATATATATGCACACTAGAAAAAAAATACTCATGAAGAGTATTTTATAGCCACTTTTAAATACAGATCTGTACTTCAAATTTTTGAAAGGCAGCAACTTTAACAAACCTGACTCTTCACTGGAGGCTCCCGCTTTTTACAGTAAATTTTAGCTTTTGTGACTTCAGAAAAGGAATCCAGAGATGTTCCCTCAGTTCCTGGCAATACTGTTTTGTGGAGGGTCCAAGGTAAGACACAAATGCTTCTGTTCATAAGACGTCACTGCATAAATTTTCTTTTGTGCTTCGAGGTTTTTAAGGGACTGGCTCCCACGCATATTTTCAGACTGCAAAGCAAAATTAGAAAACATTATCTCCTGAACAACTTGGAAGTGACAGAACGTTTAATCTCCATGTTAAAAAAGAGAAGCACCCGAAAGTACAACAGGAAAGGTACTCTGTCAGCAAGAGATATGCTACCTAAGACTGCTAAGCTGGAAACAATCCATACTTTCTGGTGGTGATTTGAAGCCTTTGAAGCTGAAAAAATAGGATGGAGCTCTTAATCAAGTATTCTATGTCCTTCCCTTGTCTGATTTTTTTCTGTAATTGGTGCTTTTGTCTAGTCCAGATACAGTATGGTGGACACATGGCAATACTGGTGGCATCTGGCATACTACTGTCAACTACAGAATGGCACTACTGCCTTGTGCAAAGTGCAATCATTTGCAGCAAGATTCAGAAAAAGCAAGGAAACAAGAAAAAAGAAATGAAGAAAAGAGAAAAAGCTGTTTCAACCTCAATAAAGATGTGACTTCTATTTTTTTTCTCAGGCTTTTTTCCAAGGGAAGAGATAGGGCAGAAGAGTCGCAGGTTTTTTCCCTCTTATTTGTCTGGCTTGTTTTACCTGCTAGCTACAGAAGTTTTACTACTGAGTTAAGAGCTAGTAATTATTTGGAATTTTGACAGGAGGAAAGACGAGGGTGGTCAAACACACAGATTGCCCAGACAGGTTGTGGAGCTTCCATCCTGGGAGTTACTCAAAACCCAACTGGACATGGTCCTGGGCAATCTGGTCTAACCAACCCAGTTTGAGCATGGGGGGTGTGTGTGGCCTAAATGATCTCAGAAGGTTCCTTCCAGCCACAATGATTCTGTCAAAGTTTAACTCTAGAAATTGTTTTCTTCGTATTCTTCTTTCCCCCACAGAGAGCCTGGATTTCTGGAATCGCTTGTGCACTTTGCAGAGTTTGTCTTAACCCTGGGATATTTTGGATGAATAGTCAGGAATGGTCTCAGATATTGATGATTTCTTATCAGTAGCTATACGGAAAGCTGTTATTTTATTCCATGTACATTGTAAAGACAGCCCACACTCTATTTAAAATGTTGAAATGGTGATTAAAGAATTTCACAGAAATTAAAGTGTCTTCTTTAAAGAAAGCTAATGTTTAAGATACGGATCAAATCATCATCTGTTTTTCAATCAGAACTTATGACATGGTATAAAAACCAAACTAGCAGTGTTTGGCATGTGGTACTTTGTTTGTTCTGTGTATACAATTCCCAGCAAAGGAATGAACGTATGCATGGATGTATGCTCAAATAGTTTCAGCATGGAAAGGAAGGTAGAACTTAATCATCCATTAGAGTCGTCTTCAAACTAATGAAATTCTAGATGTAAAATTGGAATAGACTGCTATAACCTTTCTTCCTTGTTTGTACTGTTTGAAATACTCAGGATAAAATAAAAGGTGTTTCACAGTTTGTTCACTTGCATCAGGGAAACCTCAGGAAGGCATTCTCCAGTGCGCAGAGGGACTGAAGCAAAGAAAGGGGCAGCATGAAAGCGGGAAAGCACACTGCTGAACAATTTACAAGGACTGTCCTTTACCCACTGTCCATACAGACAGGTATTTTTCATACCGATGACAATAATCAAAACATATTTTTCCAGCCCTTTACATGACGTAATCAAAATCAATGAAAATCGCTGAATAGAAAGTATCCTCCATATTTCAAGTAATTCCATGTAAAATGCTTGCATTTTGCTGGTGCTCACTGCTTGAGAACTTAAAAGAGTACTTTTAGATGTGCTCATTCTTGAAAGCCTTACAAATGTATAAAATCAATCTCAAATAACAACTCGTTCTCATTTAAAAAAGAAATTTCTATGTGGCCAAAATCAAAGAAACAAAATAATCGTTAAATTTGATATTCATGAAGTATTTTCCTTATGTATTTTTCAGAAAATCAGAAATATTTACTGAAATGGTTAAACATCCTATCCTCCAAAGACAGACACAGAATTCTACAATAACAGAATACCCAAACCCTTTTTTTAATAATAGGAATATGAAACATCCCCTAAGAAAATGGAAGCATCTTTCATCAAAGTATGTGCTTAAAAGAGTGAGCATTTAAATGTTTCACAGTGTAAATGCAGGAACTCAGTGTGTGAAGGCCTCCTAAGCCCCAATTACATTCATAAGAGTTGCCCAACAAATGACACGTAAAGGACTATCCCTGTTGAAAGCTCTAACAGCAATCTTTGTAATGTAGCAGTTCTGTTTTGAAGTATTTTAGACATCCATTTTTGCCTACATAAGTCATTGAATTCTTCTTTAAACCATTAACTGAAGGCAACAAGACAATAAATCCATTAATTTACAAGAGGGTTTTCTGATTTATCCACTCTCTCTTCTTGTTGTCACTGACCGGTAAGTCATAAACAATAAAGAGCACCCACCTCATTCTCCAAAATAGCTTTGAAATTTGAAGATTTACTAAACATAGAATGATTGTCTATTTAAATCTTCAGTAATTTTACCATACCACCCAAGCACCATAAATCACTAGTGACATTGGCTAACAAGGGTTTAAGAGTTGGAACATGCAGTGTAATAAATTTCCAGACAGTTAAAAATCACTATAATTTTATTCTAATGCATTATAGATTGCCTGTAATGTCATCCTGGCCGGGGTGACCCATTTCTAATTTTGAACAGCTGTTCAGCTCGGGAGTTAGTTAATGATTAAATATAAATTGCCTGATTTATTAGTCTGAATGGTTGAGCTTCCAGGTCAATGCTATATAGACAAAATCATCAGTCTTGATGCTTTTCAGAAGTTAACTGTCTCCTGTTCTAGTCAAAAAGAATTTATTCTCAGAGGAAAAGACTTGACGTTCTCAATTAATCCTTTTAAATATTTTTTTCCCTTAACTCATACAATAACATCACTAATAAAAACTCAAAACTTGGAGAAAAACTTCTTTTAACTATGTGTAAACCTTCAAATACAAGACGAGACTACCTATAGGAAAAGGGCATTGGTTTCCACAGAGCTTCCAAAGGTTTTGGAGATCTGCAGGGTCAGGCCAACAGTGACCGTCTCAGGCGTCTTGAGGCAAACAAAAGTTATCATACGCAGATAGTTACATCTACTTTATTGTTTTTCTACCGAAGGAAAGATTATTTACATATTTTACATTTCTAGGCATATTAATTTCAGAATTGGGTATCAAAACCAGATCTGTTTTAATTGCACTGGGGTTTTTTGATTAGTTCTATACTTTTACAATTATTTTTTTTTTCCAAACTGATTTGATCTTGATTGCCAGCCTCTGCTGGGAGATTTGCAGAAATAAAAGTCTTCACTCTCTGATCTTAGAAAGCAAAGTCACAGGGACTTTATGAAATCCAACTTAAAATATTTATTCAGACTGCCTTGGGAACTCACATAGTAGTGTAATTATTATTTGTACTTTTTGTTTCCTGTTATTTACACTTATTTGCCAAAAAGGAACGGTTAAAATTCTAGATGATGAATTGAGACACCACGATTTCTGTAAAGACCTAGGAGAGACTGCACGGCAATGCTGTGGCTGACTTGAACGGTTACTGACCGTTAAATAGGCATGCGTTAACCTTAATGATGTTGGTCTGCAAATAAAGCTAATAACCACACTGAAATATATATAATTTTAACATAAATACATTTCATTCTTATTTAAAAATTAATAGTTTCTGCAAAAGGAAAAAAACAAAAGCAAACAGCAAATATGATTGGTGCCTTCCACTTATTTACAAGCTAAAGTGCAACGGGGGCAGATGCAGGGCGACTCCATCCTGACCTAGAGGATTATTCAGTCTTTCTGCTCATTAACTAGAGGCTGCCCAGGCTGTCACAATGTGTTCACAGTTGTGTATAAATGTGGTGACTTAGTTATCGAGACTTCTCTCTAGCAATCATGCCAATATCAGTTGCTCAGCAATACACGATCTTTAGGAAATGCAATTGTGGTGCAGCACATTTTACTTCTCAGGATTTTATTGTGGGTTTATTTGTGGTTTGTGGGTGGTTTTTTTGGGGCGGTTGTTTTCTTTTTTTTTTTCTTCAATTAAATGATTTCTAATAAGGGCCATCTTGTCACCTGTCTCCCCCCAGCCTTTCCCCACCCCACCCCACCCCCCCCCAATCCTCAAAAATTTAAGTTTAACCCCACGCTCAAAAAAACATTTCAAGTACTTCAAAACTTGCACTAGCAAGTACATTCAGGCAAAATCTTACCTCAATTCCCATGACCAACCTGTTTGCCCACTCAATAGTTTTATTTGTTCAGTTTACATCGTCTTGACATTGGACTTTCTCTGCAACTGCTTTCTCGAGTGATGCTGTGAGCTCACGCAGACCACTATCCAGAACCTATTCAGAAAAGGGATGGGTAAATACTACTGCTTAAGGTTTGCTGGTTTTTTTTTTGGTGTTATTTTGCTTTGTTTTTTAAATAATATATTTTAATGACAATAATGGTAGACAGTACCTTTAAGTCTGAAGGATACAAACTTTAGAGCAAATGTTTTGTTGTACTCTATGTTCTTTCTACAGCTCCCAGCGCAATTGTAAGCACGCTAACACCAATCTAAAAAAATCCCTTACCAAATATCCATTTAATTGGTAGAGATCAGGTGCATGGAGATAATAATAGGAGGAAATATTTTTGCTTGATGACAACAGCCTGTATTACAGTAGGATATAGACATCCCAGACAAAACTGCAAGTTTATTACACTTGATTCAGTAACAAACATCCTATGCTATTGTAGCTATGTCCTATGCATGCCAGAGCATTTAAAATTGTGCCAGAGATGATAAAAAAAAATTGCAAAACCAGAATTATTATTTGTATTTTGGATATGAGCCTGGTGGCATAAAAAGACCCCGCAATTGCTCTGGAGTGGACAGACTGGTTTCACTAGCGGCAGAAAACAAGCAGACGTCCTGCATGCTGATCCACACCTTCACCAAAGAGCTTTAACCACACTTGTATGCACTCTGCTGAAAACGCAGCACCATGGCATCCCTCTGCTTTCCGGGATTTCATACGGAATGTACCTCAACTTGGTAGCAGCCTCTGCTCACCCCCAGCAAGCCCCGCAAATTTCCTTAGACTGCTCAGACCCTTTGTTTTCCTTCAATCTCCATCACTTTTGTCATATAACTGGTAATTCGCTGAGCTGCAGCATTTTCTCCAGATTCTCTTGACTGAGTAGCTAGGATGACATGGGATTTTTAGATAAAATCATGTAAAATTGTTTCTGTTAATGCCTACTTAACTAAAACAGCTGAAAGATGCTTGGATGAGGAGCTATCTTGTTATTGGTGTTGAGGATACAACACCCTGTCTTTCTGAAAAAAATCAGAAATGAGAAATATGGAAATGATCAGACAAGAATAGTCAACAAAACAGGGGGGAAAAAAATAAATCACAAGTCTCTTCTGGTTGTAAAACCCAAAACTCCAAATTACTGCATTTGTTCATCAAAAAGAACCAAAATGAGGAAAGCCACCCCTGATCCGTTTATCTCAGTTTTCCCTTTCATCAGGAAGATAAACACTTACATTCTTTCCTGCTCTATCAGAAAAAGAGATAACCGTCTCCAGCTCAGCAAACTAAGAAGAACTAATAAAAAGAAAGGTGTTAAAAAAGTCAGATAGTTGAGTGATAAAAGCTAAGATAACACCTTAAAAAGTATTATTTTTACAAATAATCAGATGAGGCAAAAGTTGAATAAAGAACCAGGATTGAAAGATCATTTTGAATAACAGAAAAGACAAGGCAAGGCAACAGAGGCTGTAGCAGGCAAGTTGCCTGAAACTGTTTTATTTCTCTAGAGTAACTACAGAACTAAAAACAGTAAGTTCCACTTTAGAACAATTTTTTCCTATTTCAGGCTTAATAGAACCACCACAACAGGAGCAAGGAGTGCATACCTCCACAAAACCTTGGTGGTTTTGCAGGATCAAAGATTGAGATCTCATCTGCCAAAATTAGTGCTTGAATTCGTGGTATGCAATCAGGAAATTTAAAAATAATATATAAATTAAAAATGAGAAATGAGTTGGCAAAGAGGGAGAGATGAAATTACAACTTAGAACTTAATAAAGAAGGTCAGCTTGATTTCTTAGGGATAATGAGGCAGCCAATCCACTTTTTAATGGTGATGGATCTTAAATCCAGAGACCAATGAGGACTTTTGCTCAATAAGGGCATCTCACAGAGATGGGCTACAAGTAAAATTTCATCAGTCTAGCATGCAAGACATAAGAAGAATGAACACAGGAACAGTTCTCCCTCTTTTTTTTTTTTTTTTTAAAGAGACTTATTTCTAAACATCTCATGTTTGATTGCATGATAACATAGATCTGACCATAGTTCAAGTACACTCATCCATCAAAGGCTCAGCTAGCAAAGATGCAAGAACATTCTTCTGCAGCGAGACAGAGTAAGGAATGCCCCAACATCTCTGTAGGGTTTTTTTTTTTTGGTACATAATAGTCTCCTTTATCAGAGCACTTCCTACCTCATGACATATAGGAAATTTGTCACTACAAAACACGCCACTCCCTTTTGCCATTCTTTCATCAGATGTAACATAAATAAAGTGTAAGTCGAGCAACAGCAGGATTACATATTGCATTTTATACCCCAGTACTCTAAATACTATGGGATAAATCATGTGTTTCAAAAACACTTGTTATTGAGAAAGTTAGTACCAGAGAACTATGCTCCACAAATCACAGCAGAAAGCCATTACGCTCCATGGCAAGTCTGCTGGACTGTGCCCTTGTATAATCCTTTTCGGGCACAGAGTGTATTTTCACTGTATTTACGTGTTCTCATATGTTAATAATAATGATTGTAATGATAAATAATACGAACTGCACCACATCTGCCAAAAGGATGAACTTGGCCCAACATTTTAGCCTTAACATTAATAAAAATACCACCTGTACTTCTCTTTATTTTTCATACTATAGGTGGACTTACTGTAATATATATGTGAATGTAAAATCATAATTTTCACAAATATTTTTAGCAGATAACTGTAGTCTCTTTAAGGTTGTAAATCTGATTTAATTTCACTCAAAATACTTAAAAAATAATTTTGCTTATGAAGAAACAATCCTTTTTTTCTATTTCCTAACCCGTTCTTCTTTCCGTTTACTGTAAATATATAGCAATTGTTTGACTGGATAGACAAATCTATGTGTTCATGTATTAAAACTTTAACATGTAAGAAAGGATCACAAGGCATCACCATCCACAGGGTATTTTTTTATCATCTTTAAAACATTGTAAATGTCTAAAATGAGATACTGTATTAGTACCAGCTTGTATATATTTGAGATTAAAAAAAAAAAGTGACAATATTGTGACAATATTCATGACAATATTGTCCATAGGAACACAGAATCATAGAATCATTTAGTTTAGAAAAGACCTTTAAGATCATTGAGTCAAACTGTAAACCTAACACTGTCAAGTCCACCACTAAACCATGTCCCTCAGTGCAACATCTACACTTCTTTTAAATACCTCCAGGGATGGCAACTCCACCACTTTCCTGGGCAGCCTGTTCCAATGCTTTGTAATATTTTGATGAAGAAATTTTTCCTAATACCCAATCTAAACCTACCCTGGTGCAACTTCAGGCTGTTTCCTCCTGTCCTATCACTTGTTACTTGGGAGAAGAGACCAACGCTCACCTCACTACAACCTCCTTTTAGGTAGATGTAGACCATGGTAAGGTCTCCCCTCAACCTCCTTTTCTCCAGACTAAGCAACCCCAGTTCCCTCAGACACTCCACATAAGCCTGGTGCTCCAGACCCTTCACCAGCTTCGTTGCCCTTCTCTGGACACGCTCCAGCACCTCAATGTCTTTCTTGTAGTGAAGGGCCAAAAACTGAACACAGTACTCAAGGTGTGGCCTCACCAGTGCCGAGTACATGGGGACGATCACTTCCCTAGTCCTGCTGGCCACACTATTCCCGATACAAGCCAGGATGCTGTTGGCCTTCTTGGCCACCTGGGCACACTGCCGGCTCCTTGTCAGCCGGCTGTTGACCAACACCCCCAGGTCCTTTTCTGCCAGGCAGCTTTCCAGGCACTCTTCCCCAAGCCTGTAGTGCTTCATGGGGTTGTTGTGACCCAAGTGCAGGACCCGGCACTTAGGCTTGTTGAACCTCATACTATTGGCCTCGGCCCATTGATCCAGCCTGTCCAGATCCCTCTGTAAAGCCAGCCTTCCCTCAAGGAGGTTAACACTCCTGCCCAACTTGGTCTTGTCTGCATACTTACTGAGGGTGCACTCAATCCCATCGTCATTTATCATTTAAAGATACACTCTGGAAGCCATGGAAAGCGAAAGGAGGTTAGTTTAACTGTGCTGTCGAGGTTGAAGACATACAGTTAATTACTAACAGCTGCACCAATTATAATCAGTCAAGAACTGCTGGGCACAAAAACTTCCATATGAAAAATACGTACAACTCTCCTTCTCCCTCTCTTTGCCAAAAGAAAGAAGCTGAATTATGAGACAGGGAGCACAGAACATCCGTGAATGCAGGAGCAAAGATCACTAACAACTAATACTCTACCTTCAAGTCTATTCTTTAGAAAATTGGATGGAGATGGGAAAGAGACAGGTAAATAAATAAACAGAAGGGAAAACAACATGAAATAAACTGAAGGACAAGGGGCAAATGAATACGTGGATTGATGCTTGGATAATGATAAGGAATACTCTAATGCCACTGCAAAGGCCTTAAAAAGAGACTAGATAGAAGAGTAACTGCTTCACTGCTCTTACTGAGTTTCCTTAGCTCCAGAATGGAGAGGACTACTGAAAACTAACATTCGTAAATGACATACAAAATCTCTCTCTCTTATGTACTGCAGGATATCATGCAGATTCAGATGAATTTGCACTGGTGGAGTACCTTCTTCTTGTGGGATCTATATACTGGCCTTGTGCAAGCTTAAAAGAAATTTCAGAGGATGACTTGATAGGGCTGCACATCACCTTGACAACTACTGACAAAGAGGTTGTGGGTGAGGTAAAAACTTCTTGCAGACTGGATACAGTAAGCAGATAGCCCAGATAGAGATATAGAAAAATGTCCATATATTGAGAGTGACCTTCCTTCAACATTAGAGGAATTCTTTTTTTTTTACAGACTATGGATGCATACAACTGAAGTAAGGAATAAGAGCTTTCTACACGCTGATGGGGTAGAGAGGCTTATCAGCAGCTATGGTAAATAAAATCTAGGGACTTGACACTGAGAAGTGCCCGCGTTGTTCATTTTTTTCCAGAAAAAATACAAAGCCATTTGACAGACTCCCTTACACAGTAAATCATACCTTTAAAATGTCTGACTTAAGCCAGCTCAAACAGGTTGCACAGAGTAGAGGTGCCCATTACAAAACACTGAATCCAAACATTAAATGAAGCAGCTCAAGAAGTTATCATGGTTGGAAAAATTGAGCTGGTGAAACTTGGCTAGGTGTAAAACTCTCTGGAAAAGTGGAAGACAACTGGTGAATATTCATACAGCACTTCATTCTAACTCTAAAAATGGATGCCAGCAAAAAGTCAATCTTTCAATCTCAATTCGCGTCTTTTTATGACCTGGTTAATGCTACTGCTGTACATAACAGTCCTCCCCATGGGACATGACATTGAACATCACGTCCTTTAACATGTGAATTGATACAAGTTTCCAGCTGAGGAACTCAAGCTGGAAATGTAAGATTGAACAGCACAGTTCAGGATCACTGAATAGGGATGAAAATCTACAAAGTTATTCATATTCATTGCTGACCATGTTGTGCACATTTAGATGGAGAAAAAGGCTGAGCCCAGAAAGCTAAGCAGAGGGTCTGTGAAATGCCAGCTGTAACTACGGTTAAAACAAAACCAAGCAAAGTGGTGGATTTCACAAAATTAATAAGTATCAATTATGTTAAAAAGCAAAAGTGCAAAGACAGGAAAGGATCCTGTTCTGTACCCACCAGTCTGCAAAGCTCATTCCACCTACTGAACCTTACTAATGAACTCGGGCTCTCATCATCCTCCAACATTTCACAGGTAGGAAACCAGACACTAACAATCGGAGGAAATGCATCTCAGCCATAGAATTTTCTGTAATTGAAACTTCTTGTATTAACATTTTATAAAGTGGGTGTCATATCCTCAACTTGTTATAATTTTGGAAACTTAAACTTCCTTCTGAGATTCCTAGATTGTTTGAAGCTCTGGTGCATGCTAACATGGATTTTTTTTTTTTCCCCTTCTAGTTGCCGTCATGGGGAATCTATCAATGGCTTTTACACATGTGTCTTCATGTTATGCACTACACTTTTATAAACACTTTGATCACTTCCAGTCTGCCACACAACTATTAGAGAAGACATAAGTTAAACGTGCAATTAAAACTAGGTTACTTCAATCAATTTCAAATCTTTTCTTTAAATAACATTTTAAATCCTCTCAATGAACTAGAAATTGTATTCTTTCCTTTTTATGAGTACAATAGATAAATAAATCACTGTTAGTTGAAGTGTACATAAGCTTATGCACAGCTTATGGATACAGCATATGTACAGGTAAGTAGTTAATGGAAATTAGTAGTAACTTAGAAGTTAACTTCAATCACCTCACATACGGAAAAAAGCATGACAAATTAGATGAGAATCCTATTGCTAGCTGGAATTTGCAAGACATTTGAGTGAATAACAAAGTGCAAAGAATTGCACTGTAACTCAAGATTTTGAAGTTAAATGTTTGGAGGCTGCATAGTAGAATACTTAAAAGTGGTGACTGTACATTCTTCCTGAGAGATGACATGCCACATGTGGATTGCAAGAAGCAAATGTCCAAGAGACAGAAATGTCCAAGAGGAATAGTATGCCTTCGAAACAAAATTTTACCAATAATTCTCAGTAATTAAATGATGGATTAAGACTCAGTTATGGAAGTATATAAATTTTTCAGGTTTCTTCATATATAAAAATTGAATCCTTTTTTGGCATCTTCAAATGTCTGGACTGAGTCACGGCTGTTGCAAGAAACAAGCCAAAAGCAAGTTTTCCTGAGCCAGATGTGTGCAGCAGTGTCTACTATATCATTATAAAACTTTCTTACCCCTCAGTCTCAAAAGTGTTACAAATACATTTTAGCATACATAATATACACACTGCATAGACAAGTATTTCCTTTTCATTCTTCTGCTGAAGTTCACCTTCTTGTAAAATATTACTGGATGAACCAAATTTCTGCTTCATTTTTGGAATCATGAGATGGTATAGGCTAGAAGGACCTTCGGAGGCCATCCAGTCCATATCTCAGCTCAAAACAGGCCTAACTTCAAAATCTTCTTTCAAGTATCCACACTCAGACCCAGGTCTTCTTCCCTAAGCTATTAATGAATAAACAATAATCAAGAAGTATTGATAAAGAGTTCAAATCTTTTGTTCCAATATGTATTATTTTGCATTTATCAACAATGAATTCCACCAGCTATAGTGTTCTCCATTCAACAGCCTCATTAGCTCTGGAGCTTATTACTGCAATAAGTAATACCTACTAGAGAATCAAAAATTACAGCTACAGCTCCTTAAAAAAGTTCATCAGTTTGATCAGCCATGGTATGAATCAGTTACAAAAATAATAGTTTTAACTGTATCCTCCCACCTTGTAAAAGGAAGCCTGGTTGAACACGCAGTATGGATTTTATAAAGTGGTTAGGAAAAATATTCATATTAAATGACAATGTGACAACTGCTGGCCTAGCACAGGAAACAGATAACTGCAGAGGGAACTGCAACTTGGTCTGTGGTGCAGAATTCTTCCTACTAGGAACTACCTATAGGTGTGAGAAAAACCACTGCTAACCACCTCCAGAAAAATTCATGAGGAGATGAAAGGGGAAGTAAATAAATATAAAAAGACAGGACTAGTTTCAAAGTTGGAGGCTTACTGAACTGCAAGATCACCTAAAACAGGAAAGGGTTCTTCGACACACTGTCAGGCAAGGAACAGAGATGCATTAGTGCTCTGCTGAGAAACACGTTAAAGCAATAAAAGATACCATGAGTTTCAGGGGTAAAAGCTGTGTATTAAAAATAACTTTTAAAAAAATCATTAAAAGGCTATTTTTGTCCAAAAAGTAAGTATTTGCACTTAATAAACATACAGCAGCATAAATGTGTGAAAGAAAAAACATGATTCTTCAGAAAGCTATCTTTTAGTGTAGATACAGGCTTAACTAGGGCACGTGTACTTTGATCTCAACGGGCAACTCTGAGGTCACAAAGCTAAGGCTGTATCATATGGAGGCAAAATACACGCTGTAGCAGCTGATGAGATTTTTGGGGTGGCAGCAGAGGGGCCAGACGAGGAAGAGGGATGGTAAAAGCTATCTTTGTTTACCCATTTACTTTGTTTACTGCATCTCCTTCAGAGCAGGGAAAAAAAAAAAAGGATATTTGCAACAGCAGGAGGAAAAACAGGAAATTGCTGAAATAAAGAATGAAATTCCCCGATGTGATAACCGGCAGATTTCTAAGAGTTTCAGTAAAAGTGAATCTTATTCATTCTCTTAAATTGTTAAAACAGTGAGAACAACCTCCACATCACAGATTTGTTCAGCCTTCATTTAGTGCTTGATATCTTAAGTTCTGAGATTTCAGATCTAAATATTACCAACAAAAAAAGTCTTAAGCCAAGTGAAACCTTCTAAACCCAATTAATGCCGTATCTTTCAAAGCATTTGAAGCCTTCTTTGCTAAGTAAGGGTAATTAGCTTGCAGCAGAGAAACTCCTTCCACCCACCATCTCCCAAGATACCATGAGAGGTCTTTGTCTGTTTCAAGAGTGCTTTGTGTTGCTCCATTAAATGAATACTTAAAAACAACAAATAATCCCTCTCAAAAGTTCAATACATACTTAGTGGTAAATGTGATCTTCAATTCAACCATTAACTCAAAAGACATTTGCAAGTAAAAGACTAATCAAACTTTCCACTTCTGTGTGCATGCATGTGTATATGTGTTTGGAGGTCTTTAAAAAATAATCAAAGGAGATTTGATGTCATTTTTATGATATGTTTAATGAAAAACATAAACACAGATGAGCATGAGCTTCCAAAGCACTTCTGGAAGTTATTCCTATATTTCAATAGTTCATTACTCATATACACACCTGGCATATATTCCATATAAAAATCACAGCCAGTTATTTATATCAACTGTAATTTCAGTTTACAGTGGTTATAATGTGCCTAGATGGCTTTGAGGAAATTCAGCCATTTCTGATAAACAGCTTCATGTGCTACTACTGAAACTACGAAATGTTCTTCAGTAGGTTTGTGGGGAAAATAGTGGTAATCCCTCATGAAAACATATCTTTAATACTTGAACTAGGAAGTAATAAAATCCATAAAAATAAAATAAATCAACAAAATGAAATAAATAAATAAAATAAAACTAATAAAATTAAGTGGGCTCAAGATACTGGAGAATAACGCTTATTAATCAAGCAGTACTTACAAGAAGCTTTTTCCTGATGGCTTCTAGATTTTATGTAGCGGCTGCTAATTCAGCATTTGCCTGGGCCAATGCATAACGTTTTGACTCTGCCTCACAATACACCTTGAAAAAGACATACAACATAGGTACATTAGACAAGAAGTTGGTCTCACATTCATTGTAAAAATTACAAACGACTCCTGATGAAAGACTTTCAGATAATCCTTGTAGTCTGTCATTATATATATTTGCTTTAGAGCCATCTTTCTACACAATAGTGAGACATGCGGAGGTTTCTTTCATTATTGACCTAAAGACTACAGAGGATTTGATTATAGCTCACAGAAGGATATCTTAAGTAGAACTGAATGTATCCTTAGTGGGTCTACTTGCCAACAAAAATTAATTTGTACGTATCACTTTCATGGTTTTAGAATACAGGTGGAAATCAGACAGGCGTTAAGCTTGAGCAGATTTCAACTAAAATGGATTAGTTTTTTACTACTTTGTAATTAAATGATAACATGCTATAATACTAGGATGAATGGAGGAATCCTGCTGCCAGGTGCTCAAGGGAATCACAAGTGATAAGCTCTGTCTTACACTCCAGACAGCCAGACTCAGGTGGACGTTTCAAGTGAAACGTGTACATCTGGAGAAGAACATTTCCCAACTGTTACACTATAATGGCAATTGAAAAGTCTTGGACAGTCACATCTTTTTAACCACTTTCTACCAAAAAATAAATACATGTGTACATATTGTTAAGCGCTGAATACTTCCCACTTTATCTGTGGCTGCTGTTGCATTCTCAGAACACTAAACAGAGCTTTCCAAAATAATAAAAAACTTCAAGAACAGAAATTCCTCCTATCAGTGCTACTCAAGAGAGGAAATGATATATACATACCTCATTGAATTTTACTATATTGATGACCCAGGCACAGAGACCAGCTGCCACCAAGGATTTTGTACGAACATAATTTGGGTTGAAATCTGGATCCTTAAAGTACTGTTCCTTGACGACTTTCAGACAATTCTGAGGAATATGCTCCTTATCATAGTTGATTAAAGCTTGTAAGAAATCATCAACCTGCAAGAAGAGAAGTTCCAGTGCATCAATCCTTTTCCATTTCAGAGAATCAGAAGCTAACTCCTACTTTCACCACAAATGTAAAACTGGAATCCTGCACTAGCTTATTGTTTTGGAAACATGCAGTACAAAGCAAAAATATTTCTCCCAAAATCCTGAAGTATTCACCCTCACAAACACATTTTGTGATTTTACAATTCACCCAAGGAATTTAGCAGAGATGAGATAAACATAATGAAATGCTCTCCCTTTGACTTTTCTTCTATTTTTACAATTAATAAATCCCAGTGGCACTCAGGGTGGCTTGAGTTTGCCACCAAAAGTACACAGAAAAGAACAATGTAGGGTCATATCTTATCACCCTAAATTCAAACTGTAAGAAAATGAAGTTGCGATTTAGTTTCTCTTTCTCTGGCTCTCATTTTTAATTATTGTTTTCCTCTTCCATATCAGATATTATGTGATGTCCCATTGATCATTACCTTTCCCATAAAGACATCTGCAGCTGTACAGCTTTGGTCTTTGGGCACTTTCCCTTTACAAGCCAGTAAACCCGTTACTGCAGCAATAACATTGATTACAGCCATTGGTGTGTTGTTGAAGGCTTTCAGTTCTGTAAGACTAGCCTGAAAAAAGATGATCAGAGGAACAGGTACAGAATTGTGCAACAATTGTAGATTTGTTCCACAGAAGCTTTCTCATGACCAGTATACCACTCTCAGCTCATTAAGACTATTACTAATTATTTTAGGTGGTGAAAATACTCATGATCACAGCCCTTCCCTTGCTCTGCAATCCTACGTGCAACTTGGATTATGGATTTACAAACACTTATGGACAAATGTTTGTATCATCACAAAGAATCTTTATCTGGGTTATTATAACAACTGGATATTCTTCATCATCTTCCACTGCCAGTTTTGCAAACTGAAAAGTAAGAAACGGGTATTAATGCTTTACCTGCTAAAAATGGTTTATACTTGAAATATTCACTTTTCAAATTCTCGTCTTCACAGGCTGCTCTGATTCTGGCCTCCACAACTTTGGCTTATTCTTATTGTCACGTTAAACATACATGTAGTTAACCTGATGAAAAAAACCAAAAAAGTTTTATCTTTGGCTTACTAAAGAAAATATGGCATTTTCACACAGTTTTGGAAGTGCTCATCAGGTTGATGGTGAAGGACATATGGGTGTCACAAAGACCAGTTCAGCATTTGTAAGACTAAACCTCTCAGGTTAATTAACTAACTATTGCTTAGCACAGCCTCCTCTCCTTCAGGGCAATGAAGGACAACACACTGCCACCACAAAGTTGTGAGAGGACTATGTGACAGCTTTATACAATTTCTGTTTGTTCCCGTGAGACTATAATCAACCACATACGTTTTTCAAATGGATTAACAGATTGTGTGTGATACCCAATTTCTTTCTTGCATAGGACACTACAACACAAAATATTGCAAATAATGCTTTCTTCTTTTCTTTTATATCTAAGGATATAAAAGAGAGGTACTGCTGTAAGAAGGGTAATATATATTTATGGATATATATTTTTTTCTTCTAGATAAGCTTTTAATATCTCTTGTTGAAAAATTGCTAGTATGAAGACCGTGTGTCTAGTAGATGTACCTCTCTACTGGACTGGGATTAAGCACGTCTGCATGGATGTGGAATACCACCTATGTGTATGGATGCTTTTGAAAAAAGGAGCCTGTAAGCTTGTGAGGACGCATCAGACAGTGAATGCTCCTGGCTGCCCACAGGAATCTGAAGATCACCTCTGTGAGATACAAAAATTTAGAACAACATCTGTTTAGGACTGTATAATATTGTATAATATTGCAAAAGTGAGAGATTTAGTAATGAAGAAAAGGAAACCTTTTTTTCCCCCCTCACTCCCCCCCATTTTTCCCCTTTAAAAGGCTCCCTTTTAGAAAATCAGAGAAAATACTAGGGAGCCAATGGTCATTTCTGCACTGGGAGTTTCTCTAACCAGTACAACATTCACTGCATTTCTGGAGTATAGGTAAATACATCATGTTTGATAAACCAAGCTCCATCTTTTGGTAAATTTAACTTTTTCTTTTAATTCCTCAGTTCCAAGTCTGAACCCACAGGCCTCAACAAGGGAGAGAAGAGGAGAAAAGGAAATATCCTATATGAAACCACTGTACTTACTCAATTTCAAGTTTCGAAATTAAACAGATATCAATCTAAGCAGATTTGTCAAAACTTATTTTGGCTTAACAGTGGCTTTGATCAGTGACTTTACATTAGCCTGTGTTGAGTTTTAAGTGAAATCTGAGCCCTCCACAACTTTCTGAAAGGATTTAATTATCTGTTTAAAAGCTGATTATGATTTCACTGGTGCAAATTTATCTGGTAGAGTAACCCTGGAGGGTGTTCTGTATCATCTGCAATTGCGTATTTGGAAGATTATCCGACACGTTTTTAAGGATACATTGCCTAGGGCTGAAGTTAGTTGTATTTAGTTCATCTTTATCCTTTTACCTCATGCACATCTCGCAGGCTCATCTCCTGTCAGATCGTGCTTAAACAAAGTCTAATTACAGAGACAGAGACTATTACGGTGATCAAGATGTTAATACTTGGATCAAGCACTATGCACTGGCACTAACAAGCCTCTGTAAGAATTTAATATCCTTACAAAACATGTTTCTACAATTGTTGGGGGCACCTTCCATGTATACATTTATTACATGGGGGACACGCAGACACCGTCCATGGAAATAACAAAGATTAAAAACCAATATGCATTGCATTATAAATGAAAAGTTACGAATAAAATTAAATATTTCCCCCATCTTTTGTGATGTAGCTTTTAGGGTGAACTTTCAAATGTTTATTGGTTTGCATCTTAGCCAAAACATATTTTTAAAATTAAATACTGCATATAGAGTTGCAGCTTTGTTTTGGTTTACAAGGTTTGAAACCCATGTTATTGAAATTAACTTAGAGCGAAAAGTTTTGAACAGTCAAATGCTCCTTCTGTTTAAGTTTTTAAGGATGTAACCAGGTTAATGAGCATTACATTTACAGTACATAGTGCTTCTAACATGACATGGTATTTTCCATTAAAACAAACAGCTAATTTAAGTCACACAAGTTGCATTATTGTTATGTCTCTCTCTTTCTTTTTTATGCTTAGTTATTCTTTGCTTGCTGATGCGCCTCAAAAATATGGGACAAGATATTTTTTTTTTAAGGAGGAAAAATTAAACAGAGCAGGTTGCAGATAAGCCTTAGGACAGTATTTCTCAAATCTACTTCCCATAACAAAGATGAAGAAGCTTTTCATCCCTGTCTCCAGAAGTTTAGTCCCTTTCACATCAATAAATTCTACAGTATAGAGCTCTTCAGTGATGGCTAAATTGTTAGAAAAGCTGGAAGTAGTGTGCCCTTAGCAATCAGACCATGAGTAGAGGGGCTCAAATATACCATGTAAGTACAGAAAGCACTTGAGCCAAGGGAGGTAAATAAAAAAAGCTGGTCAGTCTGGATCCATCTTTGCTTCTAACCCTCAGCTAATGTCACTATCGCCATACACCTACACCATGCTCTGCATGTTTTCTTCTTTTGAAGGGGTAGGTCCCATTTTAAAAGGCAATGGCATATCCATCTTCCTTTGTAAACCACTCCAGCTGGCATAGAATCACAGAATGGTTTGGGTTGGAAAGGAACCTAAAGATCATCTAGTTCCGAGGCCCCCTGCCATGGGCAAGGACATCTTGCACTAGACCAGGTTGCTCAAAGCCCCATCCAACCTAGCCTTGAACACCTCCAGGGTTCCAGCTTCTCTGGGCAACCTGTTCCAGTGTCTCACCACCGCCACAGTAAAGAATCTCTTCTTAATATCTAACCTAAATTGACCCTTGTCCTATCGCTACACTCCCTGATAAAGAGTCCCTCCCCATCTTTCCTGTAGGCCCCCTTTAAGTACTGAAAGGCCACTATAAGATCTTCCTGGAATCTTCTCTTCTCCAGGCTGAACAACCCCAACTCTCTCAGCATGTCTTTACAGCAAAGGTGTTCTATCCCTCTGATCATCTTCGTGGCCCTCCTCTGGACTTGCTCCAACAGGCCCATGTCCTTCTTGTGCTGAGGACTTCAGAGCTGGACACAGTACTCCAGGTGGGGTCTCACCAGAGCGGAGTAGAGGGGCAGAATCACCTCCCTCGACCTGCTGTCTGCGTTTCTTTTGATTCAGCCCAGGTTACCTTCTGGGATGCGAGCGTGTGTTGCTGGCTCATGTTGAGCTTCTAATCAACCAACACCCTCAAGTCCATCTCCTCAGGGCTGCTCTCAATCCATTCTCTGTCCAGCCTGTACTTGTGCTTGGGATTGCCCTGACCCATGTGCAGGACCTTGCACTTCGCCTTGTTGAACTTCATGAGGTTTGCACAGGCCCACCCCTCAAGCCTGTCCAGGCCCCTCTGGATGACATCTTGTCTCTCTGGGGTGTCAACCACTCCGCACAGCTTGGTGTTGTCAGCAAACTTGCTGAGGGTACACTCAATCCCGCTGTCCATGTTGCCAACAAAGATGTTAAACAGCACCAGTCCCAATACTCACCCCTGTGGAATGCCACTCATCACTGATCTCCATTGGGACATTGAGCCCGTTGACCACTACTCTCTAGACGCCACTATCCAGTCAATTCCTTATTGACCAAGTGGTCTATCCATCAAATCCATGTCTCTCCAATTTAGAGACAAGAATGTCTTGTGGGACAATATGAAATGCTTTGCACAAGTCCAGGTAGGTGATGTCAGTTGCTCTGCCCTTATCCACCAACGCTGTAACCCCATCATAGAAGACCACCAAATTTGTCAGGCATGAGTTGCCCTTGACGAAGCCATGTTGGCTGTCACTTATCACTTTCTTATTTTCCATGTGCCTTAGCAGAGTTTCCAGGAGGATCTGCTCCATGATCTTGCTGGGCACAGAGGTGAGACTGACTGTCCTGTAGTTCCCTGGGTCTTCTTTTTTTCCCTTTTTGAAACTTGGGGTTACATTTCCCCTTTTCCAGTCACTGGGAACTTTGCTGGACTGCCACAACTTTTCAAATATAATGCAAAGTGGCTTAGCAACTCCATCCGCCAGTTCCCTCAAGACCCGCAGATGGATTTCATCAGGTCCCATAGACTTGTGCTCCTTCAGGTTTCTTAGATTGTCTCGTACTTGATCTTCACCTACAGTGGGCGGTTATTCATTCTCACACTTGGGGTTACATTTCCCCTTTTCCAGTCACTGGGAACTTTGCTGGACTGCCACAACTTTTCAAATATAATGCAAAGTGGCTTAGCAACTCCATCCGCCAGTTCCCTCAAGACCCGCAGATGGATTTCATCAGGTCCCATAGACTTGTGCTCCTTCAGGTTTCTTAGATTGTCTCGTACTTGATCTTCACCTACAGTGGGCGGTTATTCATTCTCACAGCCGCTGTTTTTACCTTCTGTGACTTGGGCGGTGTGGTTAGAGCACTTGTCAGTGAAGACCGAGGCAAAAAAGTAATTGAGTACCTCAGTCTTCTCCATATCCTTGGTGATCAGGTCTCATGTTTCCTTCCAGAGAGGGCCCACATCCTCCCTAGTCTTCCTTTTATCGTTGACATACTTGTAGAAGCTTTTCTTGTTGCCCCTGATGTCCCTGGCCAGATTTAATTCTATCTGGGCTTTAGCTTTCCTAACCTGATCCCTGGCTACTTGGACAGTTTCTCTGTATTCCTCCGAGGCTATCTGTCCTTGCTTCCACCTTCTGTAGGCTTCCTTTTTGCTTTTGAGTGTGTCCAGAAGCTCTTTGTTCATCCATGCAGGCCTCTTGGCTTTTTTGCCTGACGACTTCTTTGTTGGGATACATTGCTCCTGAGCTTGTAGGGGTTGATCCTTGAATACTAACCAGCTTCCTTGGGCTCCTCCTCCTCTCCAGTGCTTTATCCCATGGAACTCTACCAAGCAGATTTCTCAAGAGGCCAAAGTCTGCTCTCCTGAAGTCCAGGGTAGCAAGCTTGTTCTGCACCCTCCTCACTGCCCTAAGGATCCTGAACTCCACCATTTCATGATCACTGCAGCCCAGGCTACCCTTGAGCTCGACATTTCCCACCAGCCCCTCCTTGTTGGTAAGGACAAGGTCCAGCATAGCTCCTGTCCTCATTGGCTCTTCTACCACTTGGAGAAGGAAGTTGTCATCAATGCATTCCAAGAACTTCCTGGCTTGCTTGTGCCCTGCTGTGCTGTCCCTCCAACAGATACCGGGGTGGTTGAAGTCCCCCAGGAGGACCAGGGCTTGTGAACATGAGGCTACTCCTATCTGTCTACAGAGGGTCTCATCCACTTGGTCTTCCTGGTCAGGTGGTCTGTAGCAGACCCCCACTGGCATCATGCAGAGCATACAAACAGCATGTAAAATGACTGCAGTGTTACTGCCCACTCTTTTAAAACCTTAGCAATGTCACATTCATATTCAGACCCTTGTTGATTACTATACAGGTATGTAGCTCTGCCACATTTATGGGGCATCCAGACTGACCCCACTTTTCCTGATGAGTCTGATCTAAAGTGAATTCCACTCTTCACCTTTTCTTAGGTAATGCTTCACTCTAAGGCAATACCTCCAAGATATTTACTGGCTTAATGTTGTAAAACTTAAAAAACACTTATAAACTCCAGTTTGAAATCTATAGAACAGAAAAGACAAAATAATTTTTTAAAGGGTGACAAATTTAATCAATTATGAAGACTGTTCACAAATTACTTAGCTGAAAGATGTATTCTCATTTGCCAGTGTTTTTTTTTTATAACAGAAATTGTAGGAGATTAATATGTAGAAACCATCATCAGCTTTATGAAATAGTTTTAGATTAATGTAGCACAAAATGAAACTTTCATTTCCAATGAAAACATTTCAGAATTGCAATAAAGCAATGAACAGGGGAGTACGGTAATCATTAGTGTCATGTGCTGAACTTCATCCCTGAAACAAAGTGTCCCAAAGATGTGATTAGCCCACAATAATCACTCTGTGTGTTTTACCTAGTTGCTTAATGAAGTAATTAGAATTGTGTTAAGGGTGTATTTTGATCATCCGAATCCATCAAAAGCATATGGAAACAATTCAGGAAAAGCACCAAAGAAAAGTGGTTGGTAGGATGATGAGCTTTTGGATCCAATTTGTGCAAGTTTAGTTAATTGCAGTATTCGAACTTTAAACTTAATAGTGATTTTTAAGTCCTATATAAGATATGGGTCAGCAAAAGGCTGAAGTCCATGATTAGCATAATCCAGATAAATATAAAGGTCCTGATCCAGTCTTCATTTATGCCAGTGTTGAAAATCACTTTTCCCTCAATAAAATTAGGATGAGACACAAGTATTAAATATCAATTAATAACATGAAGTGTTTAAGAACCAAAACAGAAGAGAATAAAGGACCATTTTGACTGCTCAAAGCGTACAGTCTTCCCTGTTGATCAGTATCTGAAAACTGTTTACAAAGGTCTTGGCAACTTGAAGTTTCCATAGCTCAAAATCAGGCATTAACAACTATCACGAGTCAATTCAATATTTCTCTTTGCAGTCTTGAAAAATGACACAAGGTGCATCAGATTTTGTAGCAAAATGCCAGAGTAGAACGAGCCCTTCAGAATTCAAAGCTGGAGGAACTCCAGTTTACAGCATTCCATACTGCTGGTGTTTTATTTCAAAAACTGCTTGTAACAAGTAGATGAAAATTTTAGTGTCCAGATGAAATTATGCATTTCGATTTGTTCTGTGGTGAGGACTAATGCATGTAAACTTCTGTGTTTCCAACATGGATGTTGATAATTAATGTTAATAGGCTGAACTGAGAGCAAAAAGAAGATTCAACTCTAATGACACGTATTATTAAGAATGCTATTATAATCCTAAAATTCAAGGTTTGCACCTTGTAATATTGCGAGATACTGGAATGACCTTCTGTATCAATTGAGTTGTTCAATTTACCTAGAGCCTCAAAGCCTTTAGAAATCTGAAGTGCTCAGAGATGACTCTCTGACCTTTACTGTATTACGAATAGGTCTGATTCTCAAGATCCACATCCATTAAATGCTTGAATGAGCTCAGTATTTATTGTTCTTTCATCTCATTAAAACAGCTAAAAGGTTGGGAAAAGGCATAATGTAAAGAAAGGTCAAGTGGTAATCACGGTGTGAAATGCTGTTACATGTGTAAGTATAATAATTCTTTAGACTTTATGCTCCCTGGAGAGGAAGTTGTTCAAAACTGTTCACCTAAAAAGGTTTATTTTGTGCTAAATATAGCTCAGCAGCACTAAATGGGGGAATCAAACTGACCTTTTGCTCCTCTGCATCTGCAATAGCCTCTTCTTGTCTCACTTTCTCAGTCTGAAACCCTATCTCAGCAATCAAAGCTTCAGCATCTTGATTTCTCAGTTGCAGTTCTGCCTCTTGAGAAGCAAGTTTGGATTTTAGATCTTCTACCTACAAGGCAAAAGCTAACGTGTTATTCGGGAGCAAGGGTCATCAGGTATGGTTCTGGAAAGATTATACCACATGACCCCCCAAAAGCTGAACTGAAACCAAAAACTGCATTTTGCAGGTCTCAGTACTAAAAGGCTTGCCTTTTCCTTCTTCACTGTTTCCATTTGACAGCTCCTTGTTTGCAGCTCACAGAATTTTGTTGATATAAAGAATTTAATAAGAACAGCCTGACTGCTCCCACCAGGGACCCCGCAGCTCCCCTGAGATGCTCAGACGCCTGTCCAGCTGCTGAGCCTGTGGTTGTAACCAGAAGTCTCCGCGGTGCTACAAGGCCCTGCTGCAGCACCCAGCGAAGATGCAAACGTAAAAAAGCAAAAGGACTGTGGAAAATGCTTAGTAATCACTCTGAGGAGATCATTCCAGTAGAGGTTTGCTGAAAGGTTAAGACTGACTCAGAGACTGATGAACAAAGACTACCTGTTAGTTTGCTGAAATAGAAATTTATTGCCTGCCAGGTGAGAAACCCGTATCAAAATATCCAGCGACAATATCTTTCCACATACAAAGGAATTGTTTGAAATACCTTTTTTTATTATTTATTTTTTAGTCTTATCCCTCCAAGCATTTTATCTGGCAGCTATTCATGATAAAAGGCTATATTTTAACCAGAGGGAGCTCTTGTTAACCTGATCTGTATAGGGGTGATAAGGCAAAGAGGAAGTCAAATATTAGAGGGCTTAAACTTTCATCACGTGGAAGGTCTTGAGGGCTCTTCTTATTTGGTGGGCTCCTGAAATCTTACAAAACCTACAAGATCTACTTTTTCAAATTCTGAGCATTTTGAAATGAGAAGACAAAGCTGTAATACTGAGTTGTAACAGACGACTGTAAAGACCCCAGATCTCTCCACTTACTTTCTTTTTCAATTTATTTGAGCTGACTTTATGTCTTTTTTCTTTCTGAAAAACTAAAGGGTGCTGCATTTGATATTCTTGCATAGGCTCCACAGTGCAGGATACAAATGGCTCAGTGTTTATGTACCTGGCTAGATAGAAGCTGCATCTCCATCTGCCAGCACAGTGGGCAGCACTTGAAATTGTCAAATTACCTTTTGGTCATCGCCAAATTAGAATTCAGAGAAAAAGAGCGTTTTAATCATTTACTAGCATGAGATACCTTACTAAAAATAGACTTTTAAAAAGCAGTCACCCTTCTCCATTGACCATTTATTTCTGCAGGTATTCAGCTTGAAAAGTGGGAGCAAGCCAGCCAGCTCCCATTATTAATCTCGCACAGTAGCACCAAGATGCAACGTTATGCATAGACTGGCACCAAACATTTTATTTGCAGTTTTTATAGGGAACACATAGACTTTTTAATTTTAATAAAGAACTTGCTGGATTACAGCTTGTCTTCAGCATCTGTGAAAGGGATTACAGAACAGGGGGAAAGGCTTCCAAGCAGTTTCCCCTCCCGTCTGTCATTGTGGACTGACTAGCCACAAATGAACTGTAGGCAATAGCACTGACTGGGGGCTAAGGGGCACTAGCCCCACAAGGAGATGACAGCAGCTGATGCAAAGGCTCCACACTTGTTCCTCCTGCCTTCATTACCCCTGAGCTGGTCATTGACCATGCACAAAATCCCCACGTACAGAACTGCATCTTCTCTGTACCATGGTCTGTATTTTACTACGGCAATTGCTTCCCCTCCTACCCTTTTACTGTGGCCCCATGACATTCCCCTTCCCTCCAGACTTTGTCCTTGCTCAGATGGATGGACTCTTCTTTCCAAAGACAGCTAAAGCGCTCAAAGAGACACGGTCCCCCACAACATCCTTCTCCCTAAACTGAAGAGATATGGATTTGATGGGTGGACCTGTTCGGTGGATAAGGAATTGGTAGATAGTCGCATCCAGAGGGTACTGGTCAACGACTCAACGGCCAAATGGAGATCAGAGACAAGTGGTGTCCCTCAGGCGTCCGTATTCAGACCAGTACTATTTAATATCTTCATCAATGACACAGACAGTGGGAGCGAGTGCACCCTCAGCAAGTTTGCAGATGACACCAAGCTGAGTGGTGTGGCTGACGCACCTGAGGGACAGGATGCCATCCAGAGGGACCTGGACAAGCTCGAGAAGTGGGTCTGTGTGAACGTCATGAAGTTCAACAAGGCCAAGGGCAGGGTCCTGCACAAGGGTCGGGGTAACCCCCAGTATCAATACAGGCTGGGGGATGAAGGGATTGAGAGCAGCCCCACTGAGAAGACATGAACCTGTTGGGGCAGGTCCAGAGGAGGGGCACAAAAATGATCAGAGGGATGGAGCACCTCTCCTATGAGGACAGGCTGAGGGAGCTGGGGTTGTTCCGCCTGGAGAAGAGAAGGCTCTGGGGAGACCTTGTAGTGGCCTTTCAGTACCTAAAGGGAGCCTACAGGAAAGATGTGGACAAACTTTAGCAGGGCTTGTTGCAGCAAGAGAAGGGGTAATGGTTTTAAACTAAAAGAGGGTCAATTCAGACTAGATATACGGAAGAAATTTTTTACGATGAGGGTGGTGAAACACTGGCACAAGTTGCACAGAGAGGTGGTAGATGCCCCATCCCTGGAAACATTCAAGGTCAGGTTGGACAGGGCTATGAGCAACCTGATCTAGTTGAAGATATCCTTGTTCATTGCAGGGGATGACCTTTGAAGGTCCCTTCCAACCCAAACTATTCTACGATTCTAAGAGCTTCTACATGAAGTAAAAAAACAAACACCATAGTTTCCAAAATCAAGTAATTTCAATAAAACACAAAAATATCACCCCACAACTAATCAGTCTAATGAAAAGGTGCTGTCATAACTTTGGTTTATTAGCAATAAAGCCAAGATTATTTGTAAAGAATGAAAGAAAAGGTTGTGACTTTCACAGTTTACCTGCAAATCTCCTGCCTTCAGCTTCTGAATGCCATTCACCAGGTGCTCCACGTGTCCCAACATCTCCTTGCTTTTCTTCTCTGAGGATCTTACGAAGTGTGATTTGCTCCAGAAAACTCTTCAGAGTGGTGTAATTGTATCGCCTCTTATTACAATTGCATTTGGCACTCAGCATACTCACACTGGTATGGGCATAAGCCACGAAATCTCAAATGGAGTCCTGGATGAGTGGCTGAACCTATCCAAGGAACAAGAACAAATGTAAACACAGAAGCAAAGAAATGTTTCAAAAATTAAGTATATCTATGTAAATCAGAAAAGATTATGTTTCTAAGGATGCCTTGTTCACAAAACTATTCTTCAGCCTACCCTAAACATAACTTTGTCAGCATGTAAAAAACTTTAAAGCAAAATGAGACTTCCCCAATTTTTTTTGCATATAAATTAATTAATTCTGTGCTGGCATTCATTAAGTCTTTATCACCACAGAAGCTCAGTGCTTCAAAATACTTTTTTTTTTTTTTTAATATAAAATAAATACTCCTGAAAGCTAAAACCAGAGATTAAATCAGTCACTATACTGCTATATGCAGAGTTAATATCATACGTATTTTCTATTTCGCCTCTGGAAATCCCATTTAAGAAAAATCCTGTGTAGGTTAAAGAAATACAAGAGAGTGGTTACTCTAATCACACGGATCCCCACATACCTCACATATCATCAAATTCCTATTCAGAGTGAGGTGCATTTATGCCATTAACTTCAGATTGAACAAAACTGGACTCCACGACTTAGATTTCTGAAGTTGTACAAATCCCTGCTTATCTGTGCTTATCAAAGTCAGCAATAAACTAACATAAACTGTTGCGAGGGCAGGATTAGACCACTGTGGAGTGCTTTTGAAAGCCGAGTCTCTACATACCACAAAACATCAGAAAATCAGCAACATTTCTGTGCTGAAGAGATCTTCTATCAGTTTCAAGGGGTATTTGACCAGAAAAGTAGTTGTAACTTAACAAGGTTCAGAGTCACTCCGACCTCTCACAGTTGACACCTCTTCCCTATGTACCACCAGGCGTCAAACCATGAAGTATACCTCCAGCTCCCAGCAAATCTCAGCACACTGCAGAAAGGACCCCAGAGTGGTTCGGTGGTCCCAGGGGGCCGTTCTGGGTGCCACACAGCAGTACATGGGGTTTCTCTCTCATCACAGGGAGGAAAACGCAGCCATGATACTGGAAAAGCTTTTCACACCCATTATGATAGCCAAAACAGGCCAAGCATATTTAAAACAGCTCCAGATGGTCATTTAGTCATGTATTTCTAAGCAAAATGCAGAGGTAAAATGCCTGTCTTTAGGCACCTGTCACAGCAAAAAGAGAAGTAGTCCCAGGTCTAAAGCTCTAAGGTCCTTTTTCTAAATTTTTTTGAAAACTGAACTAGCAAATACAAGATACTACTACACTACTTTGAATTAGGGAATACTTCCTCAGGATAAAGGTGAAATAAGAAACCCCTCAGATTCATTTTTGTTTGTTTTAAAGGCTCCTATCTACCTATATTACTAGAATATATGCATATGCATGTCTCAGCAAGAGTACTGTATGCAAAATTAACAGGGAAATACTAAGTAAACCCATTTAACTCCATCACTGTAACTAACTTCCATTTTGTCCTCTATGACTTCTAGCATACTTAAACTTTGTAATTTGTAGAGTCACATCTCCCTCATTTTAATGATTATTTATTGCATTCTGTACAAGACGAACCCAGTTCAATTAATCAAGGGAAGCCTAAAAATCAATTAATATGAATTAAATGAGCTACACCAACTCTTAGGAAAGTCACACATAATTTACCAAAGCATTGTCAATAATGCTTAGGGAACTTCAGGAAAATTGCTCACGAGTGGCTGTTGATGCAGTTAAATGTTTTAAGCCTACATCATTAATATTACAATCAGGTTGACGCACAAAGACTGGCCATTTTTCTCAGTAAGAAACCTCATTATTTTCTTGTGACTTTTAAAAAGCTAGTTTAGAAGAATACCTATTTCACATATGATTACAAAAACAGAAATTAAAACAAGGACTAAAGAATGATTTGCATTTAGGGAAAGCAGAAATAAATTGCTTTACAAAAAAAAGTCGGAACATCATTAGTTGAGGCAAAGCTAGCGTAAATTCATCTTAAAAATAAAATCGTAAAAGCAAGGCTAGGAATGAACATTTTATGCATATTTGAGCAGCGCTTGGCTTCCAACTGAAATGCGTTTCAGCCTTTTACTCCTTTTTTCATTGTTTGTGACACACACGCACCCTGCAGTACAGCGCTTCCTCGCGAAAGACAACCTCATGTGGAAGACATGATCCTTATGAGAGGTCTCTACTCAGCAGCCCTGAAAAGCCCTCTAACAACAGTTTCATTTGTAAATCAGTGAGGGAAGAAGTGGGTTCCGGTAGAGTTGGAAGTGGTCTAAGACAACTTGTCTCAATGGGGCAAAATAACTATTGTTATCGAGCTTAACAAAATGGCACAGCATGGGAGACACGCCGAGCCAGAGAGCAGCTGGTTGTAATTCACACTGGTTTTCAGAAAACACTAATCGTTCCCGAACAGACCTCTTTGAGGATTGGTCTTCCCTGCATTTTCAATTTGTCACTTTCTCTTATGATAAGGTCAGCGGTGACAGCACTTCCTGACATTAACAGCTGTGGCTTTTAAAAGGGTCATTGTGGAACTACTAATTGCAGTAATTTCATTAGCATAAATTATTTATTCTGCCATTCATTTATCTCCAAGGTTTTTTGGTTTTTTTTTAATACTACATTGTACTTTTCAATACATGCCCATTCAGGGTTGTAGGCAAAGGAAATTATTATTGCTAATTTAGCCTTCTTTATTAAAAAAAAGCAAACAAAAAAGAGTTGATACAGTAACAAAATCTGATTTAACTGCAGTTCACGAGAAAGCATTAAGTAGCTTGACGCCAATAACGACGATTAGGCTGGTACGATTCAAACAGATTCAATAGTCCTAAAGACAACTGAGCAATAAACCTATATACAACCTGAAAGAAAATATATGGGTGATGCCTGTTCATTCTTATGCAGTGTCTCTATTCTAAGCCTTGGCTGACTGGCTTTTCAGCATGCATAAAAACCAAACCCCAATGCAAGTTATGAGGACAGCTTAGACAGGAGTTTTGCCCTTTTACTTGCCTCAGGATGTAAATTAGTCATTACCATATTGATAAATCTTGGCCCTTTTCAGTTAAGTTGAACTAGGTGAAACGCGGCAAGCAAAGAGCAAAAAAAGACCAATGCCACCGAACTTGAATGCATCCTGTGGGCAGTTATAAAAAATAAGAATAAAACCTAGCTAGCATTTGCCTGAAAGAAGAGGTAATTGGGAAGCACCTGTGTGGAGGAGTAGGGAGTGTAAGAGGCAAAGGAAGAAGGCAAAAAAAATTAAATAAAATTACTTCAGGCTTCTTCTTTGCCATACTACATGTTGTAAAATACTATGGAGTACGATAAACTACGAGCATAAAGAATTTATCCTTGGCATGTTTAATAGTGTGTGCTGTGTGGTGCTAAGTACCGGAGGAGCAGCGTACAAGACAGCAACAGCAAAATACTCAAAGGAGACGGCAGAGCTGCACATTGCTGTTATTTTTAAAGGGATGGATTAAACAATCCTGATTCTTTTCTTCTATACTCAGTGCTGGTATGCGACACCAGCAGAGGTGTCACATAGGACGTTTGTCCAGTAAGGAAGAGAGATTGCCTGTCATGCTGAATTTGAAGACAGAGACATTATTTTAAAATATTATTGTGTTTTATAGCAAATGAAGTATAAAGGCACTTTTGTAAGTTCGTTAAGCTCAGTACATGGATTTCAGAACTGTTGCACAGTGTTCTTTTCTTGTGCTTGGTTAAAATTAAGTTTAGCAATTTGAGTACTGAAACAGAAGAGGGCTCTTTTCCTTTCTTTTCTCCCGAGAAATCAAAGACATTCAAATTGATTAAATTTCTGATACTCTCCATTTCCCTCCAAATATCTCTGAACTCACTGTCTCTTGTCCTTAACCCACATATTGACCAATGTCCTTCCGAGTGAAAAGGAGCTCATGGGACTTGTTTTCAACAGGCACCATAATTACGGAGGATCACTCGTTCTTTCTGTTTGGATACTTTGACACAGGGCAGAAGGGATGTCCACAGCATCTTTCAAAGCACATACTAAGGCTGCAGCTCACCATCTCCATGAGCTGAGCTCAACCTGCCCCCGCCCTTCCTTGGATAAACTGTATCTTCCGGAAAAGTACCTAGACTTGGTTTGAAGATAAAGAGATGGAGAATCTTCCTTCAAGTCCCACAATCCCTGTGAATTTTATAGGTTTTTCTCTCACCATTTAAACCCAGAATTTTTCCAGTTTTTGTTAAAGCAATGTAGATATGATGTCATATTTGTATCGAAATTTGAAGAGGAAAAAGAAAGATCATTAGGTTAACTTCAAGCTACCCTAATTAAAAATAATCTGTAAAATTGTTATACAGTGACAAACAACAACAACAACAAAAATCAATTACTATTACTGTATTTTTGGAAACTGTGAAAAAGGACAATGAGGAGCTAAGTGTCAATTATGCCAAAATAATCACTCAGTAGTAGATCTCACACTGCTCATCATATGGGACAGCATGATTACAGTATGTTTCAGAAGTCTAGGCGTACATGAGCCCTGGAGAGAGCATAGCAGACTGCAGCTAAGATTCCCACTTCTTCAGGGTGGTCCCTTTCCACCCAGACCCTCTCATTCTTTTGATATCCTAATATACCCCTGCAACTCTCCTGTCCCCCCTCCCTTTACTAACTGTTTTCCTGTGATCATTCTCCCTTCACCTCTCTTTTACTCCTCTTCAGACTCTTTGCTCTACACCTCTCCTACCTTTCTGGTTCGATTTTGCTTCTCCACTGTCTCTCTTGTTTGATTCTCCCTTCTCTCCCCCCATAACACCATCATAGTTTCTCTATTATTTCAATGCTTCTGTTCTAGGTTCACTTTTTCCATCACTTTCAAATCCTTCCCCTGTCTCCTCCTAATATTTTTTGCATTCTGCTGTCAGCTGCACATGCAGATATGACTCAGGCACGCAGTACTGCTCTACATATGTTGATGACACAGAAACCTTAACTCACTCTCAATAAAGTGTCATGCTAATTTGTTAGTTACCATTTATTTCACTTGCTGGGAACTGAATAGGAAAGATATTTACTAGGAGCAGTTAACACCAATGTGCAAAAGAGTCTCATAAACAGTTGCTTGGATCAGTGAATTCTTTCCTAAATAACTTCAAAAGGAATTCTATAGGAACATAATGCTTAAATTAAAAAAAAAAAAAAAGAAATAACACCCCCCTGCAAAAAGTTTCAATATTAAAAGCTTAAATTCTGATAAGCAGAGCTATTTTCAAAGGAAAAAATATAAATCGGTCAAGGATCTGAAAAAATAATGTATTTAAGTCAAAACAAATTCTATTCTGTTTTCTCCATATAATCCTAACAGTTTCTTTCAAATAAATGGGAATATACAAGTTGGTCTCACTACAAGAACAAAAAAAAAAAAAAGCCGATACCCCCACATAGTCCACAGGACAACAATTAACTACCCTAATAACGCTTCAAATCTCTTCTGAGCTGCGAAACTAAAGCAGAAGGTGCTGATGGAAAACATCAACGCCAAGACCCTGCAAACATCTCCTCTTCCCCTTCCAGTCCTATAGGAGGCATCCGTACGCCGCGGGAGCGCGGCTCTCCCCGCCGCCGGCAGCCGGACCGGACCCCCCCGCCGTGGCCAATGCCCAGGGCCTCGCACAAGCCCCGGGGAGGTGAAGGACCCGCGGGGTCCCCAGCCCCAGGCACCCCTGCAGATTTGCCCTCTCCTCTTTCATTTCCTGACGGCTCCCTGTATTTTGTAGGGGTTTAAACGGAGGACAAATGCTGTAAATGCAGCAATCTCTTCCGCAGAGATTTGCCCCGGGACTGGTGCTGCCCCTGGCTAAAACCAGAAGGCTCTTCCTTGGGCATTCCCGAAATCCTCAGTCTCTCATTGTTATAAATCCCCTACAGAAATGAACGGTCCCAAATACAACAGCACTCCAGACTGAAACTACTGCAACTGCCATTGCTGAAAGTAAATCTTTTGTACATCTATGTGAAGTACTCCACCAACAAATACCTCAGCAGTTTCACTGCCAGCACGACAGTGTTGTCCCACGCTGGGTGGGACAAAAGAGGCAGCTTGTTAAAACTCTTAGAAGAATATGAGAATATTCCTTTTCCCTGAAAGGAAACCCACTAATGCATGATTTTTATATTTTTTTTTTCCCCTGAAAACAAACAAGTCACACTCCAGATCAGTCGGGAACAAAAAGAGAGTAACTGCCCAGATATTAAAACTCTAAATGCATTTGCCATATGGTTACAGGGAACATTTTTACCTGCTTAGTTGCTGAACAGAGGGAAAACTTTTTCTTTAGTTAGCCTGGACTGTGCACTGCAATATTTCAGCCTCACTTGCTACAGCACTAGTGAATATATTTAATTGTATTGAAAAGAGTCAAATAAATTCTGTACCTATAATATCCTACAAAGCCCAGAATTGAAGGATTCTGCAAAGACAGTGCTATGAATTACTTTCCTCTCTTCTTTTCCCCTCACTCCTCTGCCTGTGCTAGACAGTTCTCTCAACTCTGCCGAAGGAACTGGGCAGCAACACGCCATAAAAATTCAGCTTCTAGCGGGGGTGAGCTTGAACAACACCAAACGCAACAAGTATGCGAGAAGGAGTTAAAAAAAGCGTTGGTTTTTTTTTCCAGCTTATTCAGTTATCAATCTTTCAATGGCCTCAGTTGCTTTCTTAGAAGACTGACGAGCTTGAAACTCTGTACCTCGACCCCCTTGGCTTCCTCAACCAGCCTCCCGCTGCCAGCCCGCCGGGCTTCCCGCCGCCGCTCACCAAACCAGTCGATAGCGGTGCAGTCCACCACAGCTGGGAACTTCCGAGCTTGCCCTCGCAGCGTGGCACCGGCCACAGAGAAACACAGAGCGGTCTGAGGAGAGGAGGGAGGGAAAAGGGAGAGAAAGGAATCACACGGCAAGTTGAGGCAATCAAAGAAAAGCACGCAACAAACGACCAGAGCACAGTTGAGGCTCCAAACCAAATTTGGCAGCTAATAAACTTTGCCAGTCTACCTGGGGCAAATCGATTTTACTCCCTTTCCAGTATACAAACACAGCATACTCGCAGCCTCCTTCCCCTCTCTCCACGCCGGTATCAGTCCCTCGGGTTGACAGCTACGAATACGAACGCAGCCAGAGGGGCTGGCTGGCGCGCAGCCAGCCGGGAGGCACACGTTCAGCTGGTCACGGTGACACAAACCCACTTCTTGGGTTGCTAAATGTATTCCAGCTGCTGAACGCCATTTTCACCCGTGCTGCAACTCCACTGAAAGAACGGGAAGACCAGGAGATCTGTATCGTAGTTTGTATGTGAGTTTTTAGGGACTATTCTTTACAAAAGTAGAAAGGGATGTCCGAACGAGGGTAGGCTAAAATATTCAAAGGAAAATAAATCTGTGATCGTGTCCTGGTTTGAGGTAAAACAGGACCAATTTTGTTCAGTAACTTTGCTTCTTAGCTGGGCCTCTTCTAACTACTGAAATTAAGAGCATATTGTGCAGACACTGTTCATTCTCAGAGTGATAAGACTATGTTTATACTTGATGCCAAGGGATGGTATGCAGACAGGTTCCTGCTTATACTTATTGCTGTAACACCCAGGGCCAGATAACCTGGTTATTTGCCCCATTGGAGGGTCGGCAGCAGAAAAGTGTAGAGGTGTCCCACCTGTGGGGAGGAGCGGACAGGACAGGTGACCCAAAACTGACCAACAGGGTATTCCATCCCATCTGCCTCGTGCTCAGTATAAAAGCTGAGGGATCAAAGGGGTCAGTGCACTTTCTGCAATGGCCAGCATCCCAGGAGGACTCTGTTGATCTGCCTTTGATCCGATCCTGAATTCAGATCTGGAATCCAGTTCCCGTCTGTCACTGAGTCCACTCTGGGACTTCCCCAGTGCCAGCTGGTGACGTGACTGTCATCCTGGGAGCTTGATTCAGTTTTGTATATATTTCATTATTTTCTTTTTATTTTATCAATAATATTTCTTTAAAGTAGTTTAGTTCCTTCTAAACTCATAAGTCTCTTTTTCCCTCCTCTGCCCCTCGCTTTGAAGAGAGGTGGCGGGTGGAGCATCTGTCGCTCGGCCTAAACCACGACAGATTGGCCGTTAATACCACCATGCCTACCAAAAGCAACTCCCATTTGGGAAGGAAGGGTTATTCTAGTCTCTCAGTTGTATCTGTGGACCTACTTACTGCAGTTAGCACATTTTGGCCACTGCATTTGCTTTTGGTTAGTTAGCAAGATGACAGACATCAGGCTGTTTAGACAGGACTGGATTCTGTCCTATACACTTCTGTTTTTTGCTCTACAGGGCTTGTCAAACCATATGGCATTGATATTGTTAATTCCAATAGAAAATATCCAAATGGTATCAGAACTTCACTTCCCCAACAGCGACAAGAGCCAGGACAGAGCCCAGTCAGGCATGCCGAGAAAGCGACAGATCCATTCTGCCTCTGGAGTAATCGGGAACAGACATCAACTATTAAGAGAAAACTGGATGAAAAAGGAAGAAGAGCAGAAAGTTGAAAGAAAAGAAGGAAAAAAGGAGTGAAGAAAGGAGGAGGTTGACCTGGGACAACACTTCACTGGGTTTTAAAGCAGTCAGAGAAGAGAGAGAAAGCGATGAGTAGATAGTAACAGTGCAAAAAGCTTCCGTGGTATCTGGAAAGAAGATTACATGGAAAATTGAAAGGACTTGCCACTATCCATAGTTTCTAAAAATACATCTCTGCAGTGGATAACACAAGATAACAATTCCTGCAATTAACCTTTAGTTATGAGCAAAGATGAGTAAGTCTCAGTAGAACTAAGTCAAAACAAGAAAAACTTTCACCATTATTCAGAGAAGTCTCTTGAAGAGAAACTGTTTCCTGAGACATTTATACATTTTGTAAAGCTTGCACTTTATACTGAACCACAGGGTATGTAATTTTTTTATTCCCATCCTTTTTATCAAAATCAATTAAGAAATGGCCTTTGGTCATATGCACTGGCCAGGTTCTATCTCACAAAAAACTTCTTTCTCATGGTTTCACAAACTGAGTGGAATTTTGAGATTATTGAAGGCTTTGTATCAGTGACACCATTTTCAGAGGGGTGTGACATGGCCAGGTGTAACAGCAAGAAAAGCACAAGTGGTCCCTTCTGTTGGGAGCCATGGCAGAAACAAAGGAGGTGAAAGGCAGAAGACATGTGAAACAATCTTAAAAGAAAAAAAAAAAAAAGACAGACCTGAAAAAGGGTAAGAGGAAGATGCAAGGAAAGCAAACAGAAGCAATGATAGTCTCCCATGTTGTGACAGACAGGAAGAGAAATGACGCAGACTAAAATACTTAATGGGGCATAAAAAAGAGAAGAATTCAGTGAAATCTTTACTGGTGAGTGAACCATAAATATTCAATAAATTAGAGCCCCCAAGCCCATGCTTTAGACTGCACTGCAAATTAACTGTATGTTCCACCGTTTTTTAATCCATTTACTTCTTTATATTTCTAAATGGAGGATATTCACTAGTACTTATTCCATTTCTGACATGCTTACCAGTTTCCCAGAGCTACGAGATCTCATAGTATATTTTTTGTCTCTCTCGTGGAATAGGATGTAGAGGACTATTTCACATTAAAACAGTTTTGAATTGCTATATTTATTCTGGTCCCCCAACTGATCTAGTTTATTGTCAAACAGATAAAAATACTTCTCATACATGAACCTAAATTCTTCTAACCACAGGCGATTTGCACATTTGTCTAGGAAGTACTTGAGAATGTGTCAGCGAAAGAAACCACTGGTTTTAAATCACTTCTGACCTTTGACTCCTGCAAGAATTACAAACAGCAGTGCACGTTCTCATATTTGCAGGAAGGTAGTGTTCTCCCCCGTCTGCAAGAATTTAGGCAGAAATGTAGACACTTATGCAAAACCACAATGGAGTCCAGGTTGTCCAGGGCTGTTACAAAGACAGGCTGATCAGCAAGTAGCTCTAAGGTACAGAAGAAAATGTCATCTACTTTGAATGTGTTCACCATGAAGAGTCAAATGGCACAAACATCCACGAAGAAATCCATCCTAGCCATGTTATGAAAACTACACTAAGACTATACAAAGACCAAGAAATATCTCAGAATTTACAGCAAAATTTTATCAGGCTGATGAGAAAGAGGGGCAAACACAGAAAAAACAATCAAAACATACAAGAATAGATGGTCTCCACCCCAAAACTCTGAATCAGAGAAGAAATGCACGTGAAGAGTCTGCTAGGTCTGTTTCACGATTCTCAAAGACTTTGGACACTCCTGTGAGTTTTCTGAAATTTCTTCTCTGTTATACCACATATTCTTCCATTAGACATTGTCTCTCCCTCTCATTCACGTCACCTTATTTTCTGACAAAATTCTGTGTTCGGTTATAATATCAGAGGCACGGTGAGCAATGCTGATGCTTGGGGCACCTCATTGTCTCCTCTCATTCCTCCAGCAGCCACGTTCTCAGCCACACTATCCCTGCTATGGCAGCAGCAGTCACAGAGAGCCTAGAGATATCTGTCCCTGCTTTGATGTGTTTCTCACAAGTGCCCTTGCTATAGCAGTGATGCCAAACTGAATCTATCACACCTCCAAAGCTGCAAACCATACACAATCTTGCTAGAAGTTACATCTTCTACACCCTCCTACGCTTCTCACATTGCTCATATTTGGACTTAACTCCCTTAGTACTGGACTGCAAGAAGAGTCCAACTCAAAGTCTTGGACCATTTGCGAAACTCAAATCAGAATTTAGTGTTTTCCTTAGTCTTGTGCCCTAAGTAATATTTTATCCTTCCTAAATATTAAACTTTTTTTTTTTTTGTATGGAATGATTACTATTTATATCAATCTTATGATGAACTTTAGGGCAGAAGGTGCTTTCTCTATCCAATGTAATTTGTTAGGAGTGATTTAAAAGAACTACATGTATCTACATGGAGCTGGATTAGCTCATATGAACTGCAGATCCCTGAGAACATAATACTGACCCTTCCAGGATTGTTCACTTTTAACTTTATCCTAACATCTAAATTCTAGATATACTACATCATACCCAGAACCCATCTGTTCTCTCCTTGCCCTTGTGGAGAACCACAGGACGCAAAAGCCTCTCAACAGTTAACTCCCGTAACAAATAAGTACAGAATAGGAGGTCAACAGAGTGATAAGAGAAGGCAAATAGGAGAGAAAGGGTCGAAGCAACAGCGCATCTAGCACAAGTTGCTAAACATGGTAAGCAAGTCCTAGTGAAAGTCTTTACATGAAATACCAGACACACACTCGTCCTACCAGGATTATTTGGCTGCAAAGTCCAACCAAGAAAAAGGAAATATACCTCAGTAAGTATCCTGGACTCAACTGTCATAACTTTACTATGAACGTTCCTGAAAACCGCTAGTTTAAAGGCAGGTGAACTTAGTATACATGAAATACAGATACACCGATCTTTTGCTTGCAATGCAGATGTATTCAAATACCTAGCTGTTATTTCACAAGTGCAGATTACAAAGCAGAAGATAACAGCTGAAAAGAATGCCTATGAAGGCTAAGAAGAGATGGACTAGATGAGAGGATCTGCAAAAGCCAATAATAAAGAGAATGGCAGTAGACCTGAGTCCTAGAAACCTTGCGCAGAATGAAGAGAACCAATTCAATCCAATTAAAAAGTAGCAATAGGTAAAGTTATTTACCTACACACAAACTTGGTAGATTATCATGTCAGGACTAAGTTTAGAAGAACAATTTCTCAATCCTGTAATACATTACTTCTTAGAATAGCTGGTTCTAGAACTCAAATTCAAACACATTATTTAAAATTTCCATTACTTTTCTCTAAAACA